CCTTGTTTGGTTGTCTAAAATTTCGATTTTTAAGATCGATGAACATAGTTTAGACGTTTATATTGGTCGTGATGATTTTTTTGTTGTTTTTTAGGTCGTTGGACCTAGTTCAGAATCTTAGAAAGGTCGTGTTGTTCTTTTTTTGAAAAGTTTTTAGTTTTGTTCAGCCTTACACTTGTTTTTGTTTTTGCAATTTTATCTTAGATTTTTTTAAAAGCTCTGTTCGTTTTTTTCTCAAAGGAAGGCAAATTTCACTATCGAAGAGCGAAAATGTTTTAAGGGTCACAAAAAACTGATCGAGACTTCTAATTTCGGAAAGGGAGTTTAATTATCAGATTGCCCAGCAAAACAAAAAATTTACCCATTGATCCAGGTTTCTCACTTTTGGTAATTTTCATCGAAAAAAAAACAATCATAATTTGTCATGATTTTTAAACCTCTCGTAAATCATAATAATAGAGGGGGCGGATGCCCCCCCCCCCCCCCTCATGGATTTGACCACCTGCCGACCCAAAGGGTCCCCCCTTTGGCATTTTTAAGAAATCTATTTTTGGCCGACCGATCCTAAAATTTTTCTAAAGGCGCCTTTGGCGCCAAAATCTACTAACTTTGAGGCGGAGCGCGCGTCAAATAAACGCAATATTTTTTTCGTCAACAATATCCAAAAAGTGCTCAAAAACGGTTTTTTTGCGAAAATGCGGCTTTTAGGAGAGCTTGGAAAAATTATTTGGTCGACCTAAAAAAAAGAAAGTGGTCAATGTTTTTGAAAATTTTTTGAAAATTCGCCATTCCAACCCCCCCCCCCTCGAGAAAATCCTTGATCCGCCCCCTGCTGGTCAGTATTTTTTTTCTGTTCACATGCGTTCATTGACTCTTTTCCAACTGTCTGTTGGCTACGTTCTAAGCTTACTAAACGTCGCCCGTTATGAATCTTAACTTGGTACAAATTGTCGCTCAAAATTTTCAATTATGCATTATCATCAAGCAGTTATTTAACTCAATGATATTTTGACTTTTTAGGATCCTGACTTCCAGAAGGAGATGGGTGCTATTGACAAGAGTGACGTGGAAGACAATGAGGAGGAGATAATCCAGGTGGGGTTCAATTTCTACCACTTGGTGGTCAGACTGCAAGATCTACACGGCACAGACGAACCAATCGAGTCACGAGAAGGTGCTTGATAGCTTTGCGATCTTTTTAAAAATGCTCAAACCAGTTTTAAAAATATTGTTATTATCCAAACAAAAAGTGACTGAGTTTGCCTATTCTGGCAAGTCAAGTAATCGATCCGTGGTATACATCACGCAGTAATTGGAGGACGGGGGGTAGTCTTAAACTGTATATTGTTTATTATTCGAATGATTTAAATTTTTGAAGATATTTAAAGTAAATAGTCTTGAGCATGTTATCAGGTTCATAAATGAGTTTGTAAAACCAAAAATTTCCCTCATAAATCAGAACTGACCTGGATTTGGTGCAGTTTTTATTTGATAGTTTAATCTCTTTACAGCTGCTCGAAAACAGTTTGATGACTTGTTCGATCAGGCCATGAACTACTTCGAGAGTCGCAGCATGAGCATAGAGGTACTCAAGGACGGATTCCTGCAGAAGATATCCTTCAGAGTCAAGAGTCAGGCTAGTATAATTGGCTAAAATACCACTAATTTTGGAAAAATATAACGTCATACAGTGGTTTCAGAAAAGTCCGGCTGAGCAAAAAGTATCATTTTTGTTCTTGGCAATGAAGTTGTTTTGAAAAACTTTCTCAACAAATTTAGATCAAAAGTAATCTAGCGCAAAAAAATTGTTGTTCGGATACAAATAATTTTTTTTGAAAACTGACGTCTTGACATATAAATGAAGTTCATATAGCATATTTTTGTAATAACGATGATATAATAACAGGATGTGTTGCGTGAGGACGTGAAGGAGATGATGAAATGGGAGGTGGACAGAAGCAGTCCTTCGAACAAGATACGCGACTTCGTCTCCTGGTCCAAGGACATCATCAACGACATCAAGTACCAGACCAGAATCATGTCAAACCCAATACCCGCATTCCTCATCACCAACAGGTGCGTTACAAATCACCAAAAAAGAATATCAAGGAAACCAAAGATCTTTTATGGAAATGAAATTTCACATCGATTGCGGGTTGAGCAAATAGAACAGAATGTTTTTACCTCAACAATAAAAAATTAAGAAAAGAACAGTTTTTCAATCCGTGGTGGGATGAGACTGAAATTCAATTGATGTTTGATCAAAATGCTAAACGAAACATGTTCAAATAAGTTTCCTCTAAAAAATAAATCGGGAACCCAAAATTAAAAAAATAACTGATAAATTGTTTTGCAGAAATTGTATTTTTTTTAAATTTCTGTAGAAGACGACGAAAACTAGTTTCAAATGTTACTGGAGAAAAACTAAATTTTCAATGTTCAACTTGAAATAAAGGATTATACAGACACACTCGCTTTACGCACTCGCTTTGACTGCTCGAAATTAGACTGAAACTCTTAAATTTTCAACCAGTTTTTCTCAACACAAAATGAAGTTTTTTTAAAAATTAATGTCGTTCAACTCACGACTGGCAGGACTTCAAGACGATATATCACTCGATCTCTTTGATGATTATTTAAAAAAAATTTTGCGAGTAAAAATTATGAAGAAAAAAATAAAAAACTGAAACACAGTCAAAGACAAAGTTGGAACAAAAGCAATACGAGGCCAAACTGTGCATTTTGTGAATTGTAATTGGATTCCGCAACAAGGACGCTCCCTTTGTTCTTTTTTTGTTCTTTCATTGCCTTTGATTGTTCCGACAAATTTTTGACATGTTTAAAGACTTGTCTCTGGAATCCAGGAACATACAGACACAAAACTGTGCGCCTATCCAGTGCGGAGTTTGGCCTCGTAATGAAACATCTACGAGAATATCATTTGGCAGACGTGCAGATTGTTCTAGAAGTTTTCGTTTTTTTACTAGTTCTGCTACAAATGAGCTCAGAGTTTTTTTCAGAAGCTAAAAGAATCAGATGATTTATGTATTCAAACGAAAAGGGAATGAATGATGCCAGAAACTCAGAAATAACCCGTACTAAAACAAATGGTACTTTAAAACACAATTCTGCCAAGTTTTGTCTTCAAAATCCGTCAAAAAAACTTAACAAAAGTTAAAAGAACAATGGATGAAGTAATAGAAATTTGGAAAAAAAAAACGTTTTCACGCAAAGTCTAAAGTCTACCCGCATCTCAGAAAAAAGAACAGAAATCAAGCATAATGGATTTTTGTGTTCTACATTGTTATCGTTATAATCATTCTCATGTTGCCTTCAGACAGCAAAATGGAACAAACAATCGATTATACTTAATTAAAAGTCAACTTAGATGTTTTTTTTACCTGATTTTTTTAGCATCGTGCAAAAATTTGCAAAAAATTTCTGCATTTATCAAATAAGTTCTGCAGAAGTTCCGCAAAACGAGAATCAATCCTCGCCAAAACCAAAACCTCATGTCTCAGGTTAGTTTTCTTGACCCTCCTCCAAAAGTTTTTACGAGTTTTGTTGGTTAGTTTTTTTGAAAATACAGATAAAAAAAGCACTTGTGAGAAGACTGGCCAATTATGGAAATTCAGTGCTGGTTCACAAACAATATTTTGAGCTATGAGAACTTTTTGGTGTTAGGTATAGCTCAAATGTTGCATTTTTCAACCATTTTTAATTTGAACAAGGATAGCCGGTTACTGTGCAAATTTTTCAATTTAAAGAATTTTTTCTGTTTTGTGTGAAAAAAGGATCTGACGCAAAGATAGAATCTAGGCATACTAGACAATCATAGTAGTATAGCCGAATTGGACAAAAAATTTGTTATTATTATAATCAGTTTTTTTCGTTATAATCTCTTCTCATGTTGTCTTGAGACAGCAAAATGGAATAAAAAACAATCGATTATAATTCGTTAAAAGTCAACTTATTTGTTTTTTTTTCATGAGTTTTTTCATGAGTCAACTTATGAGTTTTTTTTCTTCGTGCAAAATTTTGCAAACATTTCTGCATTTATCAAATAAGTTCTTTAGAAGTTTCGTAAAACGAGAATCAATCCCCACCAGACCCAAACCTGTCCCAGGTTATATTTCTTGACCCTGCTCCAAAAGTTCTTACGAAATTTGTGGGTTAGTTTTTTTTGAAAATACAGGTCAAAAAAGCACTTGTGAGATGACTTTGGCCAAAAAAATTGAATTTTTTAGCGCGCAACCGCTCTCAAAAAGGGTATATGTTTTACACTCTTACATTAATACCTGCATCCATACAAAACTTTTCTCGCGCTCTTCTCAAAATTTGTATGAACAGACTTTCACGCCCAACCCCCTCAAAAAGAAATCAAACCCCCTCCCTCTAAATTTTCTCAAAAACTAAGAAAATGATTGAAAGGAACAAATTTGATTAATAAAAAAAGAGTGACAAAAATCAAAATGGCCCATAAAAAATTAATAATGAACAACAACTAACCTATTTTTTTAAAAAATATATGTAAACAACGTTGTCTTCGCTGAATTTTGCATTTCGATAAAGTGCAGAAATTTTTTTTTGCATTCGAGTTTCATTGTCTTTTTCTATAACACAAAAAATAACCGAGTATAAGTAATTTGCAAAGGATTTTATTGCTTTATTAGATAATAGCAATAGTAATTCCTTTTTATTTGATTATAGTAGACTATTTTTCACTTTTATAATCACTAACAATATAACCAACAATTAATCAATTTTAATTATGGAATTCCAGTGCTGGTTCACTTGAGATACTTTGAGTTATGAGAACTGTTCGGTGTGTTACTGTGATATAGCTCAAATGTTGCAGTTTTAAACAACCATAAACCAATAAATAAATTTCTTCTGCTTAGTTTGATAAAAGGATCTGACGCAAAAAGACAATCTAGGCATACTAGACAATCGTAGTAGTATAGCCAAATTGGACAAAAAAATGTTGTAGGAAAATGACTAAAAAATCTTTTAAAAAAAAAATTTTTTTTTGTTCCCAAATTAAGCTAAGAAAACTCCAAAAACTAGTTAAATCCACACTAGAAAAAATTATTGGGAACTTTTTAATGTGGTTCGAAACACGACTGAAAGTGCTTTCAAATGATATATCCCTCAACCCAGTCCGGGTTATTTGTGGTTCCTTATTTTGTGTGGAAAACAAAAAAAAAAACTAAAACGCACCCGAATCCAATGTTCCTCACCATTTTCGAGGGTCGGAACAATAAATCGTTTCATCAGGAGTTGAAAAAAAGTTGAAACTAAAATGAAAAGATTAATTATGAAATACTTGTCTAAGATACCAAACTCTTAGATAGATGAGTTTTGCACAAACCATCTAAGTTTTTTGCACCTTTGGCAACTGGCAAAATATTACATGATTTAAACTGTTGCAGCAACTTGTGGCACAACCTTGTTCTGCTGGTTACCTTCATCCTGAACTTGTTCATACTCTTCACATGGGACGCTCCTGCTGACGTTTCGACGTGAGTTTTGACAATTAGAAAAAAAATTAAAGCCCGCTACTTTTTTTTAATAGTGAACGTGTTTTTATTCAGAAACTTAAATAGAGAACTTACATAATAATTTAACTTTCATACCAAAAATTGAAAAAAGCTTACAAAATTATAAAAGTTAATTATATAAATAAGAATCCAGGGACGAGATTAGCCTTATGAGGAGTAGTGTGTCGATTTCCTCCTCCTTCTGTTCCCCTTTCTCCTCGCGAATTCGACCCCCCTGACTACCAAAAGGGTCCCCTTTGGTACTTTTTTTGATCTCCACAAAGTATAAGACTATAAGACCAATATAAAAGTGTTCTGCTAGAGCCTTCGAATCCAATTTATTTCAATTACTGATTCAATTACTGATTTTGAGAGAGAAGTGCACGCCAAAAACGCAGTTTTATGTTCAAAAGTTTCCAGAAAAGGCCTAAAACTAAAACATTTTGGCCTTTTTTAGGCCTATTTTTTCCCAAAAATTCGTCTGCCGCGCTGAAAAGACTGACGAACTCGAATTTTTGGTGAGAACTATTAATTTGACAAGCTATCCGACCGCTGACCGAATGTTCCAGGGCTCTTTCAAATTTGTTCATAATGTATTGTTTTACAGTATCAAGCCTGAGTATCCGGACTGGTACTTCTATGTGCTGATGGTGTTTGGATCCCTACACGTGCTGCTGTCCCTCGTGATTCTGGTGGAGTACTTTCTGTCCAACAGGCCTCAGCTGCCCTCCTTACATGAGATCAAAGAAACCATAGCGTAAGTGCGTTACTGGGTATGAAAAAAGCTCTCGTTGACCTTGTGAAAAACATTTTCCGTTGCAGTTCATGCAACTCATCCGTACATTAATTAAATCTCCCATTATTCAAATCAGCATATTTATAGGTAATATTTCACGTTTTTTCTTCTGATTTCTTAATTAGGTTTACTTAGAAACGGATTGAAACGAAATTTGCGCCAAATATCATTCAATTTTATTATAGGCCAATTTGACAATTTACAACCATAGATGACTTCAACTTTTCACAAGTACTCAGGAAAACTCCGGGAAAGAAATTGAAAACCAGAACTCAGCAAACACAAAATTGAGAAAATGCAAAACTGAATTACCAAACACGTGCCACCAACTAATTTATGGTCAAATCAACGTTTAAAGCAAGAAAATGCTCAAATACACAGTGTAAACTAAAAACGATTACAACTTCGTTTTCTGTATGACACTCAGCTAAATTGCCAGTAACCATACCCTTGCTCTACCACTTGACCAAGCTGGAAGCACAATTTGTCTTTAGTGCCAACCAAGAAACACTCGTTTTGCAGTTGCTTAAGATTTCAAAAAACTTTTTAAAAAATTGGTTTAACAATTCGGACCCCATAGCATAACTTTGGTAAAGAGACGTAAAGTTACGTTTGGCTTATATGATTTTCCGCCTGTTCAAGTATCAGAACGAACTACTTTCAAGGATTTGTGTCTTCCAATGGCTTATTTTAATTCGTTATACTTATTTGAAATATTTACCGCACCATTGTTCTTTTGCTTCGTTCCTTTCAAGTTAAGGTTAGCTAACTAGGACAGGAACTAACAAAGTAGGTCAAAACTACGACTTGTTACGACATCTACAACAACTGCAACGACAACAACGATCAGCTACGACAAACTAGCCATGCCCAACAAAACCACTCTCGCCCAGAGAAATCTACTCATTTCCCAACTAGAGCGCATCAACCGCCTCGCTGATATACAAGATGAACACGACGATATAATGGATGAATATTGACAAATGCTATAAGAAACTACAGCAGAGACAATTCCACAACAGCAGAACAGTGATGCCACCACAGTTCTATCCCCCCAGACAGCTGATTCAGTGCAATAACAGCCAATACAAGATCAGGATTCTAGCCAGACGTGAACATTATTCATTAGCAGCTATCAGCCCGGATCATCAGCACAGCAAACAGTAGAGGACCACAACTCTTCAGATAGCAGAGATACTCAGCAGCAAGTCCCCCAGTCAGGTTTCGAAATAAACACACCGCCGCTCCAACACCAGATCACGACACCACCAACGCAAACCTCAGCTTCAAAAACAATTACAGAACAGCAGCTTTTTCCAGTAGCAGCTTCTCAGACATCAAGTAGCGGACAGTCGCGATTGAGCTACAGTCTCATGACCAGACCTCCAAAAGTAAAAATTGATGGGGCACGTGATTCGGACTCTTCAAAGCAACAATCCACAATCAACCCATCTCGGACGCCGAAAAGATGACTCATCTGCAGACTTTAACAACCGGAAAAACCAATCAATCTATTTCCAGTTAGTCGTACAATAGCACTATGTACAACGCTGCCCTCCAACGCTGACCTCGTGATTCTGGTGGAGTACTTTCTGTCCAACAGGCCTCAGCTGCCCTCCTTACATGAGATCAAAGAAACCATAGCGTAACTGCGTTACTGGGTATGAAAAAAGCTCTCGTTGACCTTGTGAAAAATTTTTTCCGTTGCAGTTCATGCAACTCATCCGTACATTAATTAAATCTCCCATTATTCAAATCAGCATATTTATAGGTAATATTTCACGTTTTTTCTTCTGATTTCTTAATTAGGTTTACTTAGAAACGGATTGAAACGAAATTTGCGCCAAATATCAAATCCATTTTATTATAGGCCAATTTGACAATTTACAACCATAGATGACTTCAACTTTTCACAAGTACTCAGGAAAACTCCGGGAAAGAAATTGAAAACCAGAACTCAGCAAACACAAAATTGAGAAAATGCAAAACTGAATTACCAAACACGTGCCACCAACTAATTTATAGTCAAATCAACGTTTAAAGCAAGAAAATGCTCAAATACACAGTGTAAACTAAAAACGATTACAACTTCGTTTTCTGTATGACACTCAGCTAAATTGCCAGTAACCATACCCTTGCTCTACCACTTGACCAAGCTGGAAGCACAATTTGTCTTTAGTGCCAACCAAGAAACACTCGTTTTGCAGTTGCTTAAGATTTCAAAAAACTTTTTAAAAAATTGGTTTAACAATTCGGACCCCATAGCATAACTTTGGTAAAGAGACGTAAAGTTACGTTTGGCTTATATGATTTCCCGCCTGTTCAAGTATCAGAACGAACTACTTTCAAGGATTTGTGTCTTCCAATGGCTTATTTTATTTCGTTATACTTATTTGAAATATTTACCGCACCATTGTTCTTTTGCTTCGTTCCTTTCAAGTTAAGGTTAGCTAACTAGGACAGGAACTAACACCATCAACCAACCAGCGTTCACCGAAGATTTCTCAAAATTGGAGTGCGAACACCCGACCCCCATGTCCCTTCGACGGACAATTTCACCACCCAGCATACTGCAGCAAGTATCTGATTTCATCTTTGGAAGAGAAGACGCGATTTATTTCGGAAAGGAAAATTTGCTACAATTGCCTTGGACAACATCGAATGAAAGGTTGCCCATCAAAGCACACATGCAGCAAATGCAATCAACATCATCACACAACTCTACACGACGAACAACGAATAAAAAGAACACCAAAGTTTAATCCGAACCAGCGACCGAATCAAGTCAACCATCTTGCTAGCCAAAAGAAGATATCAAGGATCAACAGCTCACTCCTGCTACTTTTACCGGTCACATTACGACACCGCAACATACACCTTAATGTATATGCCTTTCTTGAAACAGGAAGTACAAACAGCTACATATCGGAACCGACAGCAGCACATCTTCAACTGGAGGAAACTAACCATCAGGAACAACTTCTCATAGGAGGCTTCTTCAACTATTCGGACCCCATAGCATAACTTTGGTAAAGAGACGTAAAGTTACGTTTGGCTTATATGATTTCCCGCCTGTTCAAGTATCAGAACGAACTACTTTCAAGGATTTGTGTCTTCCAATGGCTTATTTTATTTCGTTATACTTATTTGAAATATTTACCGCACCATTGTTCTTTTGCTTCGTTCCTTTCAAGTTAAGGTTAGCTAACTAGGACAGGAACTAACAAAGTAGGTCAAAACTACGACTTGTTACGACATCTACAACAACTGCAACGACAACAACGATCAGCTACGACAAATTAGCCATGCCCAACAAAACCACTCTCGCCCAGAGAAATCTACTCATTTCCCAACTAGAGCGCATCAACCGCTTCGCTGATATACAAGATGAACACGACGATATAATGGATGAATATTGACAAATGCTATAAGAAAATACAGCAGAGACAATTCCACAACAGCAGAACAGTGATGCCACCACAGTTCTATCCCCCCAGAAAGCTGATTCAGTGCAATAACAGCCAATACAAGATCAGGATTCTAGCCAGACGTGAACATTATTCATCAGCAGCTATCAGCCCGGATCATCAGCACAGCAAACAGTAGAGGACCACAACTCTTCAGATAGCCGAGATACTCAGCAGCAAGTCCCCCAGTCAGGTTTCGAAATAAACACACCGCCGCTCCAACACCAGAACACGACACCACCAACGCAAACCTCAGCTTCAAAAACAATTACAGAACAGCAGCTTTTTCCAGTAGCAGCTTCTCAGACATCAAGTAGCGGACAGTCGCGATTGAGCTACAGTCTCATGACCAGACCTCCAAAAGTAAAAATCGATGGGGCACGTGATTCGGACTCTTCAAAGCAACAATCCACAATCAACCCATCTCGGACGCCGAAAAGATGACTCATCTGCAGACTTTAACAACCGGAAAAACCAATCAGTCTATTTCCAGTTAGTCGTACAATAGCACTATGTACAACGCTGCCCTCCAAGAACTACGACGAAGATATGGACGACCTGGCATCATCATCAATGACTTTGTCAACAAACTACAGAGCTTTAAGCAACCATCAACTCATCACAAGGATTCGTACGTTGAATTTTCTACAGTCATCAGTAACATGGTTGAAACGTTTCGGACGCTTGGGTTCAAAGACGATTTGAACTCTACAAAATACGTACAGTTTGCCGTCAGCAAACTGCAACACCATCAGCAACTTCAATGGACACAGTACATCACCACCCAGAACATCGACCAGCCCAGCCTCGTCGCCTTCAACGACTGGATAAGGCAGTATGCATTAGCATGCGATCACTTACCACCTATGCAACCGCAGCAAATGACCCTGGAATCGAGCGATTGACAAAAATAGCGCCAAGACTTTGACACGCCAACGGATCTCGACCATCAACCAACCAGCGTTCACCGAAGACTTCTCAAAATTGGAGTGCGAACACCCGACCCCCATGTCCCTTCGACGGACAATTTCACCACCCAGCATACTGCAGCAAGTATCAGATTTCATCTTTGGAAGAGAAGACGCGATTTATTTCGGAAAGGAAAATTTGCTACAATTGCCTTGGACAACATCGAATGAAAGGTTGCCCATCAAAGCACACATGCAGCAAATGCAATCAACATCATCACACAACTCTACACGACGAACAACGAATAAAAAGAACACCAAAGTTTAATCCGAACCAGCGACCGAATCAAGTCAACCATCTTGCTAGCCAAAAGAAGATATCAAGGATCAACAGCTCACTCCTGCTACTTTTACCGGTCACATTACGACACCGCAACATACACCTTAATGTATATGCCTTTCTTGAAACAGGAAGTACAAACAGCTACATATCGGAACCGACAGCAGCACATCTTCAACTGGAGGAAACTAACCATCAGGAACAACTTCTCATAGGAGGCTTCTTCAACTCGCAAACGATAGACGCTAAGACAGTTGATATTACAGTTCATTCATTTGGAAAAAACACAATGGCTTCTGAACTAATTAATGTTCCAATCAAAGTGCATATCAACATGATTGCAGAGGAGCTGAAAAAAATGAACGACATTTGCAGCCTTTACGCCCACTTGAAGGATAAGGATATATGTTTTCCAGGCTTAAACAATAACGACGTAGCCTTGTGATTGAAACGGACAATATTGACCTCATCAGCCAGAAGACCATCGTCTAAGGAAATCAAAATGTTTCTCGAGCAATCCTTACAGCCCTAGGATGGACAATAGCAGGACCGAACAACGACATTGGAGATTTCTCAAGCCAACAAGCAACTGCCGCCCCAATACAGATATCAAAAGACGACACACAAATCTCGTATCTTCTCGCTTCATTATGGCGAATGGAAATCTACGACACATCACCTGAAAGAATGATGTCATCGGACGAAAGACACGCTTTGCAAACACTTCGGAAAACCATTTCATTATACGACAACTGCAACCAACTCGGACTAATGTGGAAACCAAATGCGAAAATCCCCAGCAACTATAAAGCAGCAATTGCCCAATACCACTGGTTGAATAAACAATTTAACAAGAATTCAGAAAAGCTAGCCCTCTACCAGGATACAATTGACAAAGATCTCAGCAAGAACTTTATAAGGAAATTAAAGACAGAAGAAATATCTTCGACAGGATGGATTTTACATGAAAATGGCGTAATCAACCCAAACAAGCCAGGAAAATTTCGCCGTGTTTCCAATGCCAAATCCAATTTTAAAGGATCTTGCTTAATTGACATGCTTCTCACTGCACCTGACTTGCTCTGCAATCTACTAGGAGTAATTACCCGATTTCGCGAACGAAAGCATTACATCTCTGCCAACATTGAAGGGAGGTACATGCAGGTTTCCTTTATCCCCGATGACAGAAAAAATTTTCGTTTCCTCTGAGGAGCGGAAGAACCCGAATTGTGAGTACAGTCGATTCATCTTTGGAATCAAATGTTCTCCTATTTGTGCAAATTACGCATCAAGAACTTGTGCAGACGACAATATTGAAAACTATTCTCACATCAAAAAACTTGTCTACGAGAACTTCTACATGGACGAATTTTTTGAATCCACCGACGACATCAACACCGCAGTGAAACTCATAGAAGGCCATGGACACGTACTACAACAAGGAAGCTTTAACCTGACGAAGTCGATGACTACTGATCATATTCAGTGCACTCGATTCGTCTTTGGAGCCAAAAGTTCTCCTACTTGTGCAAATTACGCATTAAGAACTTGTGCAGACGACAATGCTGAAAACTATCCCCACATCAAAAAACTTGTCTACGAGAACTTCTACATGGATGAATTCTTCGAAATCACCGAAGACATCAACACCGCAGTGAAAATCATAGAAGAACATCGACACGTAGTACAACAAGAAAGCTTCAATCTGACGAAGTGGATGACTTCGGATCATATTCTGCAAAAAATACCAGAAGAACATAAGTCAATCACCGCAGAGGAAATCAAGGACCCCAAATCTTCAAGTGAATTCACGGAATACGATGGAGAGTAAGTAACGATACCCTCTGCTTCATCACTGACAAATGACACGATCTCGCCCAGAAGAAACCGACACAACGGAACCTACTTCGCGCTGCCTCTTCAATTTTTGACCCAATTTGAATAGCAGCACCTATTACTATTCGAATACGAATAATTCAGCAAGCAGTTCAGAAAAAAGGAATGGAGTGGGATGACCAAATCACACGAGACTTGGTACCTGAACTTTTTGAGCTTCTCGACGAGAGAAACGATCTACAGACAGTAGAAATACCTCGATACTACTTTGGATACTGCTACGACAACATCGCTCTTCATTTTTTTTCAGATGCCTCCTACAGCGCCCTAGCAACAGTCGCTCATTTTGTGTACAGCAACAGTGGCACGCGGCGAATCAGCAGCGCATTTGTTCTTGGAAAAGCTCGAGCGGCTCCTCTAAAACAGCACACAATAACTAAATTTGTTATACAAGCCGCAATTTTGTTGCTCGCCTCGCAAAGTTCATTTGCAAAAAACAGAGGATTGTCATCAGCTCTGCGCATACGTGGACCGACAGCACAACAGCGCTTCAGTGGATACAGGGATCTGCGAAACGACAACAATTTTTTGTTTCTCACAGAGTTGCAGAAATTTTGGAAAGCACCCAAGCGAGTCTATGGAAACATTGCCTAGGACCCCTAAACCCAGCAGCCGACCGAACCCGTGGAATACCCCAATCGTAATTCAGTAACAAGTCAAGATGGTTCAACGGACCAAATTTTATATGTGAACAAGAATGCAACTGGCCATAGCTACAATAAAACGATGCCAAAATTGATACTTCGCTACTCAACGATCGAATCGGACAAATGAATGAAACAGAAACAACCTCAGCGCTAGCTTTGAAAGCTTCCGCCGAAACGACAGTACAAATTTGCATCGACAACAGCATGTTCTCTAAATCGACAAGAATTCTCCGAACAACCGCATACGTGATGCGGGCCATCAGTATTTTTAATTACAAATAACTACAGTCCCACAACGAAAACTCGACCACTGAAATGACAAGCAACAACAGAATTGCCATAAATTATTTTATCTTCAAACAGACACGACGAGACAGCTTCAAACAAGAGGTCAAAATTTTGACACGAAATAAACCAATCAATACAACTAGCCGACTTTGACATCTGTCACCGTTTTTAGACGATGATGGGTTCTTACGAGCTCGTGGACGCCTCGAGAAATCTAAATTGGACTATTGCATGAAACATCCGATTATTCTTGATGGAAACCACCCAGCAGTTCGCCTCTACATACGACAAACCCATAACGACAACCAGCATTCGCCACGCCAGCACACAAAAAAGATTCTCCAAACGATTTTTGGATTCTCTGTGTTCGCGTTCAGATTGAGAAGATCATAAAAAACTGTTACGACTGCCGACGACAACAAGCAACTGGACTACAGCCGGAACTTGCGTACCTACCCGCTTGCAGATTTCCGGAAGATAAATCAATCCCGTTTCATCAAACAAGATTAGATCTCTTTGGACCGTTCGCTTCGAAAACCGCAGGAACCTACAATAAACGCTACGGCGTTATAATGACTTGCCTAACAACTCGAGCCCTTCATCTTGAGATGTGCCAGGACCAATTAGCTAACGCATTTATCAATATTTTAAAAAGATTCTTCGCACGCAGAGTAAAACCAGCCAAAGTTGCTTCTGACAACGGTTCAAATTTTACCGCAGCCGAAAAAGAACTCAACAGACACTTCGACGCCGATCTTACACGACAATTCTACGCTAACCATCGGATTGAATAGACCTTCAACCCTGCCTTTACTCCTCTTTTCGGAGGTGTATGTGAATGACTCATAAGATCGGTAGAAGACTCGTTCTATGCTATCATAAAAAGCCAGATTCTAACAGACGACATAATCAAAACCGTTCTTTGCGAAGTTGCACACTTTATGAACGCAAGACCCATCACTACAGTTTCATCATTGCCGATGATGTTGAAACTCTCACCCCAAATCATTTTCTTCTCGGGAGAGCGCATGCCAGCACGCCACCTCTACAAACCCAACACCCCTCAATACTCAGTCGACAATGGAAATTTGCCCAACATAGCAACCCATATTTGGAAGAGCTTGATCAAGAAGTTTATCCCAACATTACTGCCACTACAACGATGGACAAAGAAGACGCCACCTATAAAAATAGAAACTGTTTAGATTCTTCAGGATATGACGCCACGAGGACTCTGGCCAATTTTACGGATCACAGGAAACAAATCAACCGATGATGACCGGACCCGCGTTTCACCGTCAAAACAAGAGGCAAACTTGTGTCAATGCCAGCCATTAGACTAGCACCTGTTAGTCCGGACTATTGCAATCAGTCAGCAACCAAAGATTCACGAAAATGAGAGCCTCAGCATAAACCAGCCTTGCCGCCGCCAGCCATAGCCGATAACTTCATCCGACTTTTACATGACCGTTAAGCCAGCGTTTTAAGTTTTAAAAATACAAACCACCCACCCCTTTTTTCTTCAATCATTTTGCAACTGCAAATTGAGGCCGAGTGTTATATACCAAAATGACAATTGGCAACCATCTTAGATGACTGCAACTTTTCTCATGTAATCAAGAAAACTCCAGAAAGAAATTCAAAACCAGAACTGAGCAAATACGAAATTGGGAAAAAGCAAAACTGAATTACCAAACACGTGCAACCAATTAATTTATAATCAAATCAACGTTTAAAGCAAGAAAAAGCTCAAATACAGCTTCTAAACTAGAAACGATTACAAGTTCGGTTTTTATCGCTCTAGGTTATTTTAGGGCTCTTTATTTTGGACAGTTTTCAAATTGGACTTCTGCTGAGCCAGAGACAAAAAAAACATTTTGAATTAGATTATCTTTCTGTTCACAGGGGTTTAATAGGAGTGGAGTACTTTGGCGGAGGCGGGGAGGACAAAGAAGAGAGCGCCGAGGAGGGAGGGGATGAGCACTTGAGAGTGGACTTCTTCTCCCTCACAACATTCTACCACCTCGTTAGTCCATAACGCAAACACCTTTTCTAAGTGACAAAGAACTTCAATTCTAGGATCATTCAATCATATACAAGGAAAAAGGCCACACTTAGGAGTAAGCGGACTCAGGAAGGGGTATTGACCTTAAAATTGTTCTAAATGCGCTTTCGATGAAAAATTAGTCGAAAATAGAGTCTTTATGGGGGTTTAAGTGATCTCAGAAAATCAATTTGGTCAACCTAGAAAAAAAAGTCATCAAAAGTTTTTGAAAATTCATCACCTCCAGAAAATATTAGATCTGCCACTGAAAACGACCGTTCTCTACGGAGAACAGCTGTTGTTCAACTTTGTTGAGATCTAAATTCATTTTGTTTTTCAATTTTTTTCTAATTATTCAAATCTAATAGTCCTTTAAGGAGCTTAGGAAATTGTTTGAAGTCAGCATTGGAGAAAATATTGATAGTAAGCATTTATCGTAAGCATTGATATACGAAAAAAAAAACAGCAACGCAATCTACATGTTATTAATTGATACCTGCTGAGAACCATGTAAACAATAGACATTAGATATTGTCGACATTTTTTGGAGCTACCGCCTGCAATATGCTGTCAATGTAATCCCGTCGCAACCATCTTTTTTTCTTAGTTTACTTGGTTGTGTTTACAACTAGGACGATAACTATTTTGTCAGTGTTCTATTTCCCTGTATTTTTGCAATGTGTTAGCTGTTTGTGGCGGCGTCAGTGTCTGGGGTGGTGTTTTATGGCTACTTCTTCTGCTTCCACATGCTGCATGTAGTACCTCGAAACCAGATGCTCACCAGGGTTCTCAAATCCGTTACACAGAACGGTCAGCAAGTTGTAATATTTTTAATACATTTTTGAGGTCAGTAAACTTTATTAATATTTTAATGTATTTTAACGGTCAGAAACTTTAATATGTTTTGAATATATCTTAACGGTCAGCAAATCTCTTAATCTCTTAATCTCATTTTAAATCGAATGAAGTTATTAATATTTTGAAATAAAAGTATATCAGAAGAAACTATGAATATTCCATGAAACAAAAATTAACGAGCAGTTACTTGAACCTTCGTAGATTTGAAAAATAATCGAAAGAAAAATTTTAATGATGGACTGCGATGTATTAACGTAAAAAAGTGACTCGATTTATCCACTCTGTCGTTTATTGACCTTAATCTCCTTTACAAAAAAAGTCATTGAGTATCAAAGTTCTTTTTTATTTTCATTGGTCAGAATGGATAAAAAAAGATTTCATAAAACAAAATCAGATAAACTCTTCCGAGAACAGTTAATCAAAAATTTTTTAAGTTCGCATATTGTGCTTTCACATAATTACAAGAAATGCTTTGACACAAGAAAAGTCTAGGAGATGCCCGCACTCAGTAAAACGAGAAAATAACCGATTATATTATAATTATAATCGTACTTTTAGCAAGAATATAATTTATTATAGGCGCCAATTTCAGATGTTTAAGCGACTTATAATCCATTATAATGAAAAAATTTTGGTGAAGTTTTACCAGAATATGATCAATTATAATTGATTACAATTTTTCCGAAAATCTCCTATAATCTATTATAAGAGATTAAAATCCCTTTTTCTATCGAAACATTATCTTATATCATATTATCGAAAAAAATCAATAATAATGGATTATAATTAGCTATTCTGCTTGAAAACTCAGTAAAATTTAAAAATAAATTTAAGCTTAATCTATAAGTACGAAATAATAGTTTTTTAGTTCGGTAACCAACTGAAAAGCACTTAAAACAAAAAAATAACACAAATTGAAGCGATGACGTTTTTTGAACAATAATTGATTATTATCCATTATAATAGATTATAATTCATTAAAATTTGACAAAAAAAACTTTCAAAAAAATTAATCAAAAATAATCGATTATTATTCGATTACAATAATTTTTATTGTTTCGAAAAATAGTAACATTATAATCCATTTTTAATTACTTATAACTAATTCTTCTTGAAAATTATAGAGATTGACAATAAAAAAATCCCTTTTAATCTATAGTTTTCTCTTTTTACTGAGTGCGAGTGTATTAACGACACATCAAAGGTTTCATATTTCAAACAGCTTTGTAACTGCTATTGAAAAAACTTTCCCCGACCTTCTTTTTTTCATTTTTCGTTTCAACTTTTGTAGGAAAGAGCAACTTGTTTAAGCTTGAATTGGTTAGTTTTTTCAGCCCTATTTAGAACTTTCAGGTAACCATTTTTTTAAAATTTTTTCTTGCCATCTGAAATATAATAATGACATGAGTTTAAAAAAGATATAATTCACCTGCAATCAAGTTAGTAAAGCTATGTGAGTTTCAAAATTGCCTATTTAGAATCAATATCAATTAAGCGTGCTCTCACCAGTTTTCAGAATTCAATTTTTCAATTTTAAAATATTGCAATTTAATTATTCCATTTTACTTACTAATCTTATTATTATTTATTGTTAATTGCATTTTATTCCAGATAATTGATAACTTATTTTTTATCATTCTTCGTTTTTTTTCTAGAAAAAAGGAGAATAAATACATTCTTTTGTACTTCACATAGCATGTGGGGTTAATAAATTGAAGAATTAACGATTTTTTTTCTTTTTTTTCGACTATTTTATAAAAGTTCCAACAAAAATATTTTAATTGGCCTTAAAGTGCAGTCGGAACATTCAGATTTTGGCTATCATAAACCAGAGGTATTACGGGAGGGGAGAGTGTCACTGGAGAAGTATTACCGATGTTTTAAACACTGCCAGCGTGGCAAAAATGAGACAAGTAAATCCAGGTTATTTCGTCCTATGAAAGCGTTTGCGGCGAATTTAAAAATTCCAAATTGAATTTAAGAGCAAGCAATTTGTAATTGTTAGAATGTTTCTGGGCCTGAAAATACCGTATATTTTACATCAATTTTGGGGGAATCAATTGAACACAAAAAGAAAAAACGATTTTCTTTTTTTTTTTGAATATTATAACAAATTTTCAATCGAAAAATTGTTCATTGGGACTATCGGAACATTCAAAACTTTGTCTTGATATGAGCAGTCTTGTTAACTTGTTGTAATAAGATAACAAATTTGATTTTGTTTCGACTATTATAGAAACAAATTAGGGAACGTTTATGCTCGGGGTGTTTTTTTTTCGCCAGACCAATTTCGACTTTTTAACTAGCAATTATTGACTTTTTTTCAAATCACTCGAATAGTATTGCTGCCCTGAGCTTAAATTTAAAAAGTTATTACACTTTCGATCATTGGATCTTATTTTGTGGGGGTTTAAAGGGTGTCATTTTGGCTAAGTTGAAATAATTCACGCGCTATATATTTTGAGCTATTATTGGACCCTAAGCGGAGACTTATTCCGTCCTGGATATGGTTCCAAATCGAATTGAGGCGAGCTATTTGATTATTTGTTTTTTTTTACCCTGCAAGTAAAATTTTTCACTTTATAATTTAAGTAGGTGATATTACTTTATATAAGTGATATGCTTTAAGCTTTCAAAAAAATGCGAAAAAAAAATTTGATCTTCGAAATGTTTTTCTCAGACTTCACCCATTTTCTCAAACGAACACTACTTCAAAAAACCCTAAAGTGCAGCTCGAAAAATCTGGGCTTTGCCTTGATACGAGCAGTCTTGTTTTGCTTTTGACATTGATTGGGGTAATTAGCAACAAAATATAAAAGTTAAGAGAAAATTCAATTTTGTTTTTAAGTTTTATGGATTTGAAAAAATGCTACTGAAATTTGAAAAATGAGTCAAAACAATCAAGACTATGCCCTGATACCAGCAATCTTTTTGAAATTTAGCCCACTTGATAAACTTTAGGTAATAATTTTTGAACAAGAGTGCTCGTATTAGGGCGAAATGCTGAATGTTCCGACTGCCTTTTAAGGTTTTTGGAGCAGCAATAACATGAAAAAATTAAAATTATTAAAAAACTAAAATTAAAAATTTTTTCAGAAAAAATTTCAGATTTTTTGTAACAACATCACCCCATTCATCATATTAAGACGAAAGAGATAGATTTTTTTCCTATAAACAAATCAATTTGCCATATGAGCTTCTTTCAACCAATTTGGAACAATTTCTAAGAAGGATTAACTCGCCGCTTTCCCGTTAATTGCGCAAAATATATCGCGCGTTAATTGTCCCAAATTGGCCAAAATAGCAATTTTTAATTCCCCATAATTTTACAAAAAGTGATCACAGGTTAAAACATCTTTTCAAATTGAGCGCAGCACAGACAATACCTTTCGAATGATATAAAAAAGATCCGTCAAAAAGGCTAGTTAAAAATTCGAAATTTGTCTGAAGAAAAAAACCCACCCCGAGCACAAATATTCCGTTACTTTCGTATCGGAAAATCGGAGCAAAAATGTTTGCTGCCTCAGCTTTCCTCTGCACAATATCCTGCTCAGTGAACGTTTCTTCTTTTTATGGTAGTTTTGCATCCGCTTTCTGTATTCTCCTTTTGTTTAATTAAAATCGAATATATGATGTTTTTATTGTCCGTTTTAGATAAGATCATTTGCATTTTTTCATTTCTCTGAAGCTTGCACAAATTTTTCTTGTTTTTCAATGTCTGAAAAAAATTTTCAAGACGTTTCACGTGCTGTTCATCGCTCAATTGACCCTTTATTTGTTTTGATCCGTATATTTTGTAATTGCTAACATCAATGCAAAATAGTGTAAGCATATTACAAATGATATTCAGGTCAATCTCTGCTGCTGGTGGCTCTGCTGGGCTTGATCATCATCTGGATCTATGCTGTGGCCTCTTTCGCCTTTGTGCGCTACGCGTT